AGATTTACTCTGTGTACAAAGATGACCCCTTTTAATCCTTGTACCGTGAGAAACATACTCTAACCCCATGAACAGATAAAGAAATCGAGGTGCAGAGGACAACTTCCCCTACCTTTCTAACCCCAAGGTGGTCCGGCAGGAACCAAACCAGACCTGCTGGATTCCAGAGCTCCAAGCCCTCACTGCTCTGGGTTGGACGGAGCAGTCCAGTGAGATCAATGTGGTTGATAGGGAGTTTCCAGAAGAGAGCTGACATTGAAATCATGCGCTTATAGTTGGCAATGAGCTTGTAAAATTAAAGTGCACTAAGAGGAGGGGGAAAAGCCAAACCATTGATCCTGCTTTTTGGAGGTACTGCAACACTACTGTCAATCCACAGACTGAAGAAGGTTAGTGTTAAAGGTTAGTTTAAATTTACCTCCAGGTAAAATGCAAGCTGGGTCATTTCTGCGTGGATTTTTCCATCTCCTCAGAGGAGTGCTGGGTTTACAGATGTACTCCGCCACATCTGGCTTTATTTGGGTTCTGGGGATCAAACTCAGGTTCTCAAGTTTGCTCAGCAGGCACGTTACGAGCCATCTCCCCAGGCCCCAACAGCAAATCTTTCCTGCAATTCAATTTTTGTTTTTTTGGTTTTTCGAGACAGGGTTTCTCTGTGTAGCTTTGCGCCTTTCCTGGGACTCACTTGGTAGCCCAGGCTGGCCTCGAACTCACAGAGATCCGCCTGGCTCTGCCTCCCGAGTGCTGGGATTAAAGGCGTGTGCCACCACCGCCCGGCCTCAATTCAATTTTTTAAGAGGTGTATTTATGTTTATTTTATGTGTATGAATGTTCCGATTAAATGCATGCATATGCACAGCATATGTGCCTGGTCTCCAAGGGGCCTGAAGAAGATGTAGGATCCCCTGGAACTGGGGTTACAGACAGTTGTGAGTGTGAGCCCTGTGGATGCTGGGAACGGAACCTCCTGCACGTACGTGGTCAGAGGACAATTTTTGGAGGTAGGCTGTCTCTGCCTTGGGTTCTGGGAATCAAACTCAAGCTGATAGGCTTGCATGGCAGGCGTCTTTACCCACGTGGGCATCTTTGCAGCCCTTTATTGTTAATTTTTCAGCTACTGTCTGAACCAAGCGCTATTGCTAGGTGCCAGGGTAGGCAGATAAAAGGACTGTTCTTATAGCACTCAGAGGTATTTGTTGGGGGCCAGTTTTAGGCATGACATCAGCAGAGCAGTCCGCACAACATTCCATGTGCCCTTTTTCCCAGCGCTGAAACACTTCATGGATTTTGACCCTTTAGGGGAGTCACTGGCGACTGAAGCCATGGGCCTTTTGTGTGCTGGGCAAGTACCCTACCACTGGGCTTCATACCCAACCCCTGTTTGTTGCCATGCCTAGAGAAGTAGGCCATTTGATTCAGAAACAATATATAATCTATTCTGCAAAAACAATATTGAATCCTGTTCATTGAGGAAATAGGCATTAAATTCTACACAGTTCAACAGAAAATCGCTTCAACAGGAATAAATATATTGATGCAGGGATATAGCTCAGTTGATAAAGCACTTGCCTACCATGCATGAATCCCTGGTTCGATCCCCAGTCCCACATAAGACTAGGTATGGTGGCATGCCTCAGAAATTTCAGAATCCAGGGGTAGAAGCAAGATGACCAGGTGTGCAAGGTCATCCTCAATTCAAGGTCGTCTTGGTTGCACGGGACTTTGCCTCTATTCCTTCCCTCAAACGGTAATAAACAAATAAGAACATTTGCATATGAGTGTATTTTCACTTCTGTAGTCCCTATTGGGGGCAATACTCAGAACTCTGGCGGGGGGATCAGGAGTTCAAAGCCAGTCTCAGCCGCATAGCAAGTTTGAGGCTGGCCTGGGCTACATAAGACTCTGTCCTAAAAAGAACAAAATGGTAATAATGCTTAATTATACTTAGAATTCTTTTAATGTGGACTGCTTCCACCAAACAGCATCTCATTTTGTGAAACGGCCTCAGAGATTCTAACTGCCATGAGGCTACTGAAAATAGGCTGTGGTGATAAAAACAGTCAGCAGGTAGAAAGTGCCAGGCACTGTCTTCAAAGCCCTCTGTGTCATCACACTCCTTGCTCATCATAATCACTTGATGTGGATATTATTTTTGTTCCTATATCACAAATGAGGAAACTAAGGTCACAGAGTGAGTCAGTGGGAAGTCTAGGACTCCCACCCAAGTCTATTTCAGGCAAGAGCCTGTGCTTTTAAAGTCTAGGCCATAGTTGCTCTATAATTGGGAAATGAAGTCTGGGCAAGGTCATTTATTTATTTATGTTCTTGCCTTGTTCCAGAAAGCATTTCAGACATCTGGGTAAGTCACTTGCCCAAGATCACCCAGACAGTTAGGGGCAGCGCCAGGAATCTCTCTCTCACACACACAAATTGTACAAACAGGGAGATAACAGAGGCAGACTTCTGTTACACATTTCTTCACAAACCTGGGAAAGGGAAACAGGGTCGTTTTCTTTGGCTGCTTCCCTGTTCATTGTGTTTTCTAGTCTGAGAACAGACTGGATAGGCTAAGAGGAAGAAGGGGCCATGGGACCAGGCCAGCAAGGACAGACTGCTGTGGGGGGAAGATGAGACGAAGGGCCAGGAGTTGTCTCAGAAGTGTGCTCAGACATCAGCGTTGCTTAGCAAATCAACAGTTCAGAGGGAAGCCTAAGAAACAGAGAGGGGGGATTCACAGAGCAGCAGCTAGGAAGCTGGTGTCACAGGAAGAGACGGAAGGAAGCGGACACACAGCTTGCTGTCCAGGGAAGATAAGAATGGCAGGCTGTATTTGAGGTAGAGTTGACCACACATGTGCGTGCGCGCGCGTGTGCGCGCACACACACACACATACACACACACCACACACACACCACACACACACCACACCACACACCACATACACCATACACATCATACACACACACCACACACACCATACACACACATCACATACACCATACACACCACACACACCATACATATCACATATACACCACATACACATCACACACACACACACCACACACACACCACACACACACCAACACACCACACACACCACACACACCATACACACACATCACACACACCATACATACCAGACACACCATACATACCATATACACACTGTACACACACACAACACATATCACATACACACTGTACACACACACCATACACACACCATACACACACCACACACATATACCACACACCCCACATATACCACACATACCATATATACTACACACACCCCACACACCATTGTACGCATGCACACAAACAAGTGATAATGGGTTTGAGAGCACAAAAAAGCAAAGGATGAAAGACAAACACTACCAGACATCCATTTCTTTAAAAGAGAAAACAGAACATCGTCAAGTATCTTCAGGACAGTCCCCTCTGCTCAGCTGTTAAGCTTGGTCAGTCTCCGTCCCTCCTCTTGGTTCAGTAACACCGTCCCTCTTAAAACAGACCCCTCACCCATTTTCCTTTGTCCTAAGAACTCCTTCCAGACAGAGCTTGTATAAAGAGCTGTCTTTTCTTGGCAATAACTTGAAAAATAAACAAATGAAACATATACTTGTGTGTGTGGCTTTTTTTTAAAAATGGAACATTTCATTTGCTTTCAGTTTGAATTATTATAAAAACATTTCAGTACTTGTCCTGAACTTTTTTTTTAATGAAAGGAATCTGTCCTGATTTAGTATCCTTAACCAAACATGCTTTAGTGGGGTGGGATGGGGCAAGGACTGGCTGTAAAGAAAACCCAGCCCCTGACAGCAGCCTTTACCCCGGGAGTTGACCCAAAGCTGCCCAGGCCAGGGGTGTCTGAGGCACTTCTCCTTAGAAAGCCTGCTGTTTACTTGAACGTGGCCTGGGCCCCTCTGTCTTGAGGGAGGCAGAAGGCTTGGGCTGAGAGGTTGGAACAGGAAGAGGAAATGGTCGCCCTGTGCCTCGAGTTTTCCAAAGGAGCTCGGGTGCACATCACCCCCTCTCCCTGGACCAGGATGCGACTCCAGCTGAGCAGTATTTACCTCCTTAGAATGGACCGATGCTTATGAACCTCCCATGCCATGAATTTGTGTTTGTTTTTGTTTTTTCTAAGTTGTTCTTCTCTGGACATTCCTCTCCCACACATCTACTTAAAACAAAAGCAAACAAGAACCCTCCCAGCACTCGGGCGGGAGAGGCAGATGGATCTTTGTGAGTTCAAGGCCAGCCTGGTCTGCAGAGCGAGTTCCAGAACACCTAGGGCTGTTACACAGAGAAAACTTGTCTTGAAAACAAACAAACTAAACCATGTAAATAAATTTTAAAAGGCTAATCAATCCAGGCTTTTTGGACAGAGTCCTGTGGTATATTGATCACTGTGGCCAGGAGCCGTGAACAAGAGTTCTTTGTAAATGAGTCCTGAGTCCAGGACGAAGCAAACTGCCAACACTTTGAGCTCATAGCTATTCTCTGAAGAGGGCATAATGTGTGTGTGTGTGTGTGTGTGTGTGTGTGTGTGTGTGTGTGTGTGTGTATCTTTAAAAAATGTTTATTTTTATTTTTTACCTATATAGTGTTTTGCCCATATGCATTTATATGAACACATGTGTGCCCGGTGCCAGGGTCCAGAAGAGGGTGTCAGAGCCATGGGAACTGGAATTACAGACGGTTGTAAGCCACCATGTGGGTTATTATAAAGTTATTAAAATATTATTGTGACTAAAAGCCTGGCCTGAATTGAGTGTAATCCCTCATTGGCAATTTGGTAAAACCTAATTTTCTGCAGGAACAAGCTTGACGTGAAGGCACTAAGGGCACAAATAGATTAGACTTAAACGCCCCATAAAATGACTCGAGGCTTACAGCTGGGCCCTGCCATTCTTCTGGAGAATTATGACTGATTAGCAGTTCCAAGAAACCCTGAAAGAAAAGTGAGTCATTCCATGAAGGCATTTGTCTGAAGGAAGTGAGCTGGAATGGAATGGTGGCAGTGAGTTATTATAAAGCAGCTAATTCCATGAAGAGCCATTTGGTATTTATAACGGCTTCATTGTCGATTGAATTAGTAAAGAACGCAAGTGACTCAAAGGTCTGTGATGAGCAGAGAACGACAAAGGGGAGACAGTGACGGGGGGCTTGGTGGTGACGAGAGAAGAAAAGCAGGAGAAAAGAAAGCCATAATGGCATTTGTTTATAGATTCACTCACTGACAGCCGTGGTGGCTGTGATTCCAGCCCACTGCAGGCTGAAGCAGGAGGATAACCATGAGCTCGAAGCCATCCTGAGCTACATAGTGATTCCAGGTAAGCCCCCAAATGCTGCATAGTGAGACCCTGTCTCAAAAGATTTTTTTGGTTTTTGTTTCTTGAGACAGGGTTTCTCTGTGTAGCCCTGGCTGTCCTGGAACTCACTCTGTAGAGCAGGCTGGCCTTGAACTCAGAATTCAGGGATCCACCTGTCTCTGCCTCCCAAGTGCTGGGATTAAAAGCATGTGCCACTACTGCCCAACATAATTTTTTTATTATTGTTATTACATTTTTTGATGGGTGACCCATCCTTGAAGGACATGGGTTTATGACATTCTCAAAAGCCACAAACCAAGACTGTCTCCATTGTTCTTGGCTACACATCCCAGTCCATTTAAACTGGAAACCAATGTCTTTTTTCTGTTGTTTGCACTCTATGACGGAATCCACGCCATGCTACCTTTGGAGGACAATGGAGGTTTGTAAATGTCAGAAGCGTCTGTGAGTAATCAGACCCCATTGTATAACATACTGTGCCAAGAATGCTCTTTTTTCTTCACACATGGTGTGTGCGTGAGGAAACAGAACCTGAACAGTGCAGTCTGTCAGTGAGACTTTTAGTGTAGAAATGGTGGCTGCCCTGGGGTGAAAATTAACCGACGCTTTGCCGTCACCTGTTGACTTTTAATTGAATTCCAGCTTATTTTACAGCTGCTAATCTATGAGCTGAATTGCATTTTGAGTCGACACATTTATGACTGGAATGAGTTTAATGGGGGATTAGCCCTTGGAAAATGTACCTTGCTAGAAGAAAAGCTTCAGTTCCAAGATATATACCCTCTGATTGTTTTATTGCACCCAAAACAAAAGGCATTGAAATCTGGCAATAGTGGAAGACATCTGCTTTAATTAAAACCCCATATATTTTAAAATAAAGTGTGTTCCATAATTGTTTCCTAATAGCTCAGCAGCTGGAAATATGTTTACAACATCACTGACAGAGTAGACAATATTTCATTTTTCAGGACAAGAAAGATGATGTAGTAAATGCCTAATTGCTTAGGCTACTTTGTTCAGAGATTACAATACATTTTCCCTTTCCTCCCCTCTTTCTTCCTTCTCTTGTTGTTGGGGGTGGGGGATGAGCTTGCTATGTAGCTCAGGCTAGATTTGAACTTGTAGTGATCCTCCTGCTTCAGCCTCCCTAGTGCTGGGATTATAGGCACAAGCCAGCATACTTGGTTATAGTATATATTTTTAGATGTTGCTATCGTTATTATTATTGTTACTACTATTCTTTTGTGTGTGCGGATATAGGAGGGGGCGTGCATTACACAGCGCACATGTGGAGGTCAAAGGGCAACCCTGTAGCGTCGGTTCTCTCCTTCCGCCTTTCTGTGGGTTCCAGGAATCAAGCTTGGGTCTCCAGACTTTTCAAAGCATGAACAGTTACTCTCTGAGTCATCGTGCTCACTAATAAAAGATTTAATATTTTAATAAAATGATTCTAAAATTATATTTAATAAAAATAAAAAGTAAAATATTTCTTTTCTTTCTTTCTTTTCTTTTTTTTTTTTTTTTTTTTTTGATTTCCGAGACAGGGTTTCTCTGTGTAGCTTTGCGCCTTTCCTGGAACTTACTTGGTAGCCCAGGCTGGTCTTGAACTCACAGAGATCCGCCTGCCTCTGCCTCCCGAGTGCTGGGATTAAAGGTGTGTGCCACCACCGCCCAGCCTTATTTTCTTTTTTACATGTGTGTCTAAGCGTATGTCTGTGCCCAGGGAAGTTAGAAGAGGATATGGATCCCCTGAGAGGGTCATGAGCTAGCATGTGGGTACTGGGAACAAAACCCAGGTCCTATGCAAGAGCAGTAAGGGATCCCTATAGTACATTTTCCTTTTGGCCGGAGTGTAGCCCTGGCTGTTCTAGAACTTACTATGTAGCCCAGGCTGGCCTTGAACTCACAGAGATCCACCTGCCTCTGCCTCCGGAATGCTGAGATTAAAGGTGTTTTGACACCATACCAGTCCCTACAGTATTTTTATACCCCCTGTTCCCCAGGGAATGTCTGCTTTGAATTTTCATTTTTCCCCTCTTGGAGATTGTTGCTGGAAGAGTATACGTGGCAATTATGTTTGCCTAAAATCTAAAAATGTTTTCCACATGACCCTAGAATGCTCTAATATGAATTATATTTTATTTATCTTTTGGGAGTGGGGCAGCGTGTAAGGAAGGTCTCCCTGGCAGCCCAGGCTGTCCTTGAACTCATGATCTTCCTGCCTCAGCTTCCCAAGGACCAAGATTACAGCTCTAGACTTGACTGTTGAATTGTTTCTAAGGTTTATTGTTAACTATGTGCATACGTGTGTGAGTACAGAGCATATTTAAGTAGAGCTGCCCGTGGAGTCCAGAAGAGGGTTCTGAGCCCCCTGAAGTTCAAGTTACAGAGGGTGGTGAGCTGCCCGACATGGGTGCTGGGAGCAGATTTAGGGTCCTCTTCAAGACCAGTATGTGCTCTTAACTGCTGAGCTGTCTCTCCAGCCATGCCATCTTTTGAATTTTAAAGATCAAAAGAAAAGTAAGCAATAAATACTACTTTCTAAAAGGAAATACTTTTTTTTTTTTTTTTTTTTGAGGCAGGGTCTTACTATGTAGCTCAGGCTGGCCTTGACCATAACGATCCTCCTGTCTCAGCCTGCCAAGTGTTGGGATTACATGTGTGTGCCACTGTGCTTGGCCTGAACACTGGTTTTAGTAAAGGCCGAAAGAGGAGGCTAATTGACTCACTTTGATTGAGAACTGCACGAAACCATAAAGATGGAAATGTGGGGGCTGGGGAGACACTCCGTGGGTCCAGCACTTGCTGTATGAGCATGAGGATTTGAGCATCCACATAGAAAGCCTGCTGTGGTGCCATGTGCCCGGAACCCCGGTGCTGGAGTGATGGGGATAAGGAAATTCCAGGGGCTCACGAGCCAGCCAATTTAGCCACTCTGAGCTCCAGCTCAAAATTTAAGGTGGAGAGCGATAGAAAAAGACACCCAGTGTTGATCTCTGGCCTTCACAGGCTCCTGCATTTTCATGTATCTGCACCCATTCACACACACACACACACACACACACACACACACACACACACACACACACGCATGCACACACTAAAAAAAAATACATCACCCCACAGCTTCACCCACACACACATTTAAAAATAAATAAATAATAAAGGAAATATGTTTATGTAACTCATTTGGAATCTAACCAATCCAGAGAAAACATGAACCTTCCCTGGGTCTGTTCATGTAGTTTCGTAATATAAGGAAAGGAAAAGAGACCTGGTGGTAATGCTCTTTCCTTGAAATAGTTTTTCTCCTAGGAAGTACAGCTAAGAAGCCCTGGCCTGCACACCCACGTGAGCCAAGCGGCCGTCCTCTGCAGGTGCCGTCTGGGGTGGGTCTGGTGAAACGGTGGACAAATCGCAGAGACATCGACTGGTTCCTTGATTCACCTACAAACAGGAGTCAGGATGCGCCGAGCTCTAGCTCTGGTCCATCCAAGTGCCGATGGATAAACAAAACATCGAAGGATAAATCGAACTGCCAGGCCTCTCCGCAGCAATGTCAGCGAAGCTCTACCTCCTTCCTTTTCAGCTCATTTTTCCATTGACGTTCGTATTTTTAGACACTTTCTTTCATAATGAAGGTTGAATGTGATTTTTTTTTAGAAAAAGATTAATTTTAGAAAAGCCACTGTGTGTAGGTTCCGTTTAAAAATGTTCTTTTCTGTTGCTTCAGGCAAATTGTCCAATGGCACCAAGTCAGAGTACAGAGGAGGTCAGGCCTCATCAATGCCCTGTCCAAGCCACTGCTGATCAAAAAGGGTTAGTACAATACTTGTTGGCTTTAAGATCGTGTGGATCTGCTTATTACTTTAGTGGATTTTTAATGCAGGGTCTCACTATGTAGCTCTGCCTGGCCTGGAATTCACTATGTAGACCAGGCTGGACTTGAACTCACAGAGATCCATCTGCCTCTGCCTCTTGGGTGCTTGGAGTAAAAGAGTTTGCCAGCTGGGTGATGGTGGTGCACACTTTTAATCCCAGCACTCAAGAGGCAGAGGCAGGAGGATCTCTATGAGTTCAAGACCAGCCTGGTTTAACAAAGTAAGTTCCAGGACAGGTTCCAAAGCTACAGGGGAAAAAAAAGAAAAAAAAAAAAAAAGCATTTGCCGTCACACCTGGCTTTTTTGTTTTGTTGATAGAGTCTCACCATATCATCCAAGCAGGTCTCAAACTCAATGGTCCTCCCGACTCAGCCTCCTGAGTCTGAGGATATAGGTGTGAGCCACCACACCTGCCAGCAAATCATTTTGATTAAATACATTTGCCCAAAGATCTCAGCGTGGTAGCTCACACCTGAAATCTGAGTACTTCAGATGTGAAGCCAGGAGGATCAGAAACTCAAGACCACCCCTGACTCGATAGTAAGTTTAAAGCTTACCTGGGCTGCTTGAGACCCTGTCTTTAAAAAAGATGGCTTAGCCGGGCAGTGGTGGCGCACGCCTTTAATCCCAACACTCGGGAGGCAGAGGCAGGTGGATCTCTGTGAGTTCGAGGCTAGCCTGGTCTACAGAGTGAGCTTCAGGAAAGGCAAAAAGCTACACAGAGAAACCCTGTCTCGAAAAACCAAACTAAAAAAAAAAGGCTTAGCAGTTAAGAATGCTTTATTGCTCTTGCAGAGGCCCCAGATTCAGTTTCTAGCACCCAAATGACTGCTCATGGCTGCCTGTAACTCCAGTTCCAGGGTGTCCAGCAGGCTCTGATCTCCATGGGCTCCTGCACTCACGTGGTGCCCATACATACACTCAGGCACACACACATATAAAATAAGTGAATATTTTAAAATGCATTTGCTCAACCAAGGAGACTGAATTTGACACCCATTCAAGATCATGTATCGGGGTTGGAGAGATGGCCCAGTGTTTAAGAGCATTAGCTGCATTTCCAGAGGACCTGGGTTCAAATCCCAGCACCCACAAGGTAGCTCATGGTTGTCTGTAACTTTAGTTCCAAGGGATCTGGGACCCTCATACAGACAAATATGCAGGCAAAACACCAACTAACATAGAATAAAAATAAATAAATATTTTTAAAAATCATGTGTCACCTGACAATGAGCTCACATCTTGTTGCTAATCTCTTCATGCTCTGAAGATTCAGACTCCTCTTAAGTTTTCTGTGCTCATGGCTACCTACCTCCCATCACTCCAGTCATCTCCGTCTGTCAGTGACCTTCAGACTGACCTTTCTAGACGTGTTTGTCTCTCTCTCTCTTGTTTAAAGGAAGCCTCACATTTTAGATCCTGATTTGATTTCTCTAATGCTGATGAAATAGGCTTCTCCAGCATTAAACTTAGATGCCTCCAGGGTAACAGAGCAGAGAAGGATCAGATGTGCTAAATAAGCTTCTGAGTCACTTGAAATAGTCAAAGGCATATAGAATTGCAAGCGAGGGTACTCTTGGAGTAAACATAGACGGGAGAAATGAAATGCGTGTGAAACGGGACTGCAGAGCTGGCTGAGCGGTTAGGGACACTTCTGCTCTTGCAGAGGACGGGTTTGGTTCTCAGCGACTGCATGGTGACCTCCGAGGACACCAGGTAGACACCCCTGATGCACATCCATACACGGAGGCGAAATACTCATACACATAAAATAAAATGAATAAACGTTTAAAAAATAAAAATCCGTGTGGAACAGAGCAACACATAGCTCCCTTTGTCTAGCAAAAGGAGGAGAACTAGGCATGGATTTGTATCTGACTATATCTGCAGAAAGAAACTTTGTCTGGACGGGCAAACATCAAAAAACTAAAGAGTTGCTGGCCCAGCGGTAAAAGAGCTCGCTACCAAGTCTGAAGACTTCAGCTTGGTCCCCGGGTCCCGCATGGAAAGAGAGAACAACTCCTGAAAGTTGTCTCCTGACCTCCATTCACACACCACAGCACACAAATGCACATCCACAAATGTACACAGAATATGATTCAATAAAATGCATAGGCTGAGTCCAATGCTACACATATAATAAAATGTATACAAATGTACAAAATGCTCTAATAAAATTCACTAGTTTTACAACTACATTTAATAATAAAAATTAAAATGCATAGGTTGAAGGAAGGAAAGAAACACCTCCTCAAAAATGACATTGGGACATATTCTTTTATTAGGAAACAATGTTAAACGCTGTGTGTTATAAACACTATCTATCACACCACCACTCCCTTGAGACTGCCTGGTCCCTTAATGTCACTTTGGCTTTGGGGAGATGATAAAATGTAGCTCTTCAAAAGAGATTTCAGATTCCTCAAGAGGAATTTCTCAGCCTGAAATAGGCTGGTCAGAGAACATTTTACTTTTTAAAGCAGGTTGGAGAAGTTGCTATTCTAATCAAGAAAGAGCAAGAGATTTAAAAAAGTGCTGATAGTCCCCTAATTGATGAGTCAGTTAATGACAAGTAGTTGGCAAAACTGATTCCTGTTAGACAAGACAGTGACAATTTTTGTGACAGTGTTTGGGTCTCCTTTTCCTGGGTATTGTTTCAGAATGGTGACTGTTAAGAAGTCTTCCAGGGCTCCACCAGGAAAAGCTTGAGGGGAGGCTTTCTTTCCAGGAAGTCATTCCTGGAAGTGTTCCCTCAGCCCGGTACCATGTCAGCTCTCAGCTACTGCTCCACATGATGAGGATGGACTAATATATATTTAGATATATATAGAGAGGGAGATATAAATATTTAGGTATTATTATCTAAACATATATATATATATATGTATATATATATATTTATCCCTAAATATTATCTCCATTTAAGGATAATATTTAATTTTAAAAATTTAATTCAGGCTGAGATGTCATGGCACATGTTTATAATCCCAGCAGTTGGGCAGTGGAGGCAGAAAGATTAGGAGTTCAAGGCTAACCTCAGCTGCATAGTGGATTTAAGGCCAGCCTGGGCTATATGAGTTTCTGTCTCAAAAAACAAACGAACAAGCATTTGGGAGGCTGAGGGACATGGATTCTTATGAGTTTGAGGCCAGCCCGTTTCCTGTTGCGTACCTTCTCAAGTCACACTGCCTTCTTTTCCACATTCAAGTCACTGAGCAACTATTTGTTACATATTTCTGCAAAAATTGTCGGGGTTGCCAGCAGCATGGGGTTTTTATTCCAGTGGGGGAATAAGATAACAAGTGATTGAACAAGTCAGATAACATATTGGAATAAAGGAAACAGGCTGTGGGCCAGATAATGAGCATAGATGGCGGTCACAGAGGAGAGGTCCTAAGGAGAGACAGGCTCTATCTGGGGACACGAGGCATGATCGGACGGTAAGAAGGAGGCACAGGGAGATTTGGAGGAAGAGTTTGGCAGCCAAGGTGGAACAGGAAGGGTGAGTTCTGTGAGCTGGAGTGTGTGGAGACTCAGAAATGAAGAGGCCAGTGACTAGAGGCCAGTGCAAAGGGAGGGTGGGCAGCCGGTCAGATATCTCCAAGGGCGTGGAGGCTGATGCTCGTCTCTAAATTTGAATCCCATTCTTGGTGCATCCTGGAGAGGGGAGTGCAGATTTTCAGGGATCAGCCATGCATCTTTCCCGGCCTTTCTTAACTGTCATTACAATTTTGACAGTTTGAAGAGCAGGGTATCTTTAGAGCAAAGATAGAATAAACATTTAAAATTTTTAAAATGATTACATTCGTATGTGTGTGCGCGTGCACGCCTGTGCATGTGGCATAACATGTATGTAGAGGTCAGAGGACAGCTTGCAGGAGTTAGTTCTCTCCTTCCACCACGTGGGGCGTGGATCCAACTCAAGACATCAGGCTTGTGGACAAGCCCCTTTGCCCACTGAGCCATCCTGCCGGCCCTAGATTAGATCCTTTACCCAGGCTCCTGTGAACTAAACTTACTGGAAAGAAGCCACGCCTTACACTGAGCATTCTGCAAAGGCTGAGTGACCGGTTAGGTTGCAGTGACTGTGCAGAGGTGGGAATGTTGCCTGTCCAGAGCCTAATCACCGTTCATCTCAGAGTAATCTTCCCCCCACAACCTACTTACCTTTTGAATACCCGTTCATCCCCCATCTTTGTGTGACTTAACATCTTGAGACAATTAAGGGCATGTTTTTGGAATGTAGCAACAGACCCCTAGCTTTACCAATCCAAACTAAGAAAGTTGTTAACAGCACCTGAGGCCCATGGCAGAGGTTTCCCGGCATCACTAAAACCCACCCACCTGATGTTTCTGCCGGTGTATTTGAAAAGCATGTTGCCTTGTGGCTTTCATGATTTGTTACTATGCAAACTTCATGGCCCTGCTATAATGTTGGAACATGAAATTTGAGGAACTTAACTCTGTGTTCCGGTGGCCATGGTCAGTCGTATTTGGCTCCAGCAACAAGAGTCCCATTGGCCTTTTGAGACAAGAGCTGTGTGCTGCTTCTGTTAACCCCCCCCCCACACACACACCTCAGGGTCTTCAGCATGGGGCATTTCCCTTTCAAGTGTCTCAGTATTTGTAAGTACCAGGTATGTTAAATTCTCTTGAAAAATTCTAAGTCCTCCAGTCTCCTTACTTTTTAGAGTTGACAACGACTCACTCACCTTTATTTATATTCTTTCTTATTTGTTCATTTTTTTGTTTTGAGACAGGATCTCACTATGTAACTGGCAGTCTTGAAACTCAGTATGTAGACCAGGCTAGCCTTGAATTCCCAGAGATCTGCCTACCTCTGCCTCCTGAGTGCTGGGATTAAGGGTGTGTACCACCACACCCAGCTTTTATATTCTTTTATAAAACATTTTTTTTAATTTACTAAGGGCTGGAGAT